TCCATGTTTTCCAATGTCTGTACCATTCACATATAGCAAAGCACTGTTTGTAAAGACAAATGTTCCTGCTCACTGAGGACAAAACACAAGCGAGGCCCAGCATTAGCTAACAGACGTGAAACGTGCGCACTAAGGGCCATGGGGGCTGCTTGAGAGCTTACTGTCAAGTTCTGTCATAGCTTTGTTCAGAGGGTAGATTGATTGTTCCATCAAAATCTTGTCGCTAAAGTTCTTTACAATTAGTTTTTTGTTTTGTTTTGTTTTAATTATTTTTTCAGAAATTCATACATTTTCTACTTTCATGGGTACCTAATCAGGCTTCCTGGTAGGATAAGCACTGGACTGCTAACTGCAAGACTGGCTGTCCAGTAGCTGCTCCATATACAGGGTTGCTATGAGTCGGAACCGACTCAATAACAAACAGCAAAGATCAGGCTGCTGGTGTTCTTTGGGTATCTGGTGTAGTTAATACTTAGTGGTCCCTTGTATTATGTCTCACGTAAATTTTTTTTAGTATCTAGTTTTAAAGGTAAATTGGAGGTAACTTTACTGTACCATTAAACATTTATGTTTTGCTTAATGATTTCTTCAACGTGTTCACTTGCATTTTGCATGTCCTTCAGAATTCATGTCCTGTGTGAGTGCACTCCCCTCCCTGAGCTGGTATTACTGGCATTCCCCTGGGTCTTCTAAAGATGTTGTCAGGCCGCAGCATTAAATCACCAGCAAATTCTGCAGACTGTGCCTTATCTATAATTACATTTTCAAAAAAGATAACGATATGATGGGGCTTCAGAAAGTTTGTGGAAAATCTCCATTATTTTCTAGTTACATTTTGCCAAGGACATTTTGAAGCCCCTTGCCACATACGTTTATTGTTACATAAAATCTACTGCCATTGAGTTGATTCCAACTCACTGCATCCCTGTAGGAAGGATAGAGTAGAACTGCCCCGTATGGTTTCCAAGGTTGTAACTTCTGTGGAATTATGGAAACAGATTGCCACATCTTTCTTAGTTGGTGGAATCCAACTGTTTATCTTTAGGTTAGCAGCTGAGCACTTTGCCACTGTGCTGTCTGAGCTCTTTTTATATGTGTATGTGTGTTGAACATACATGTATAAATTTATGTTCAACAGTAATATATATATAATTGTTGTTGTTAGGTGCCATCGAGTCGGTACCGACTCATAGTGATCCTATGCACAAAAGAACGAAACCTTGCCCGATCCTGGGCCACCCTCACAATTGTTGCCACGTTTGAGTCCATTGATGCTGCCACTTGGCCAGTCCATCTCGCTGGGGGTCTTCCTCTTCTTCTCTCACCCTCCACCTTACCAAACATGATATCCTTCTCCAGTCACTGGTCCCTCCTGACAGTATGTCTGAAGTATGAGAGACGAAGTTTGGCCATTCTGGCCTCCAAAGAGCACTCTGGCTGCACTTCTTCCAACACAGATCTGTTGGTTCTTTTGGCACCCCATGACACTTTCAGTATTCTCCTCTAACACCGTAACTCAAAAGCATCAATTCTTCTATGTTCTTCCTTATTCACTATCCAGCTTTTGCATGCATATGAGGTTATTCAAAATACCATGGCTTGGGTCAGGTGCACCTTAGTCTTCAAGCTGACATCTTTGCTCTTCAACACTTTAAAAAGGTCTTGTGCAGCAGATTTGCCTAATGCAATATGTCATTTGATTTCTTGACTGCTGCTTCCATGAGTGTTGATAGTTGATCCAAGATGAATGAAGTCCTTGACAACTTCAGTCTGCTCCATTGATAAGAATGTTGTTTATTGGTCCAGTGGTGAGGATTTTTGTTTTCTTTACATTGAGATACAATCCATACCAAAGGCTGTGCTGTTTGATCTTCATCGGTAAATATTATAAGTACTCCTCACTTTAAGCAAGCAAGATTGTATCATCTGCATGGTAATTGCAATAAATTATACATAATTTATGTTCAACAATAATTAGGTGGCTGTGGTGAGCAGTTCACTAATATGACTTATTTATCAAAATTAGAATTTGAATAGTTTAATGCTGTGCTAGTTCTCTAGTGTGTGTAAATAGTCATTGCTGATATTAGATGATTTTTTTGAAATGAAAAAAACAACAATCGCCATAAAATTAATTCTGACTCATGATTACCCCATGTGTTTCAGAGTAGAACTTTTTAAGTAGAGTTTTCAATGAGTGTCATCTTTCATAATTTGATCACCAGGATTTTCTTCTGTGGGGCTTCTGGGTAGATTTGAACTGCCAACCTTTTGATTTGTATAAGCAGTTAACTATTTGTACCACCCAGGAATTCTCTTTTTTAAGCTTTTTATTATGAATTGGGTGAAGTTTAACAGACAAGATCATCAGTTTTACATTCAACAAATTATATGCTTTGTTTCATCTCAGTGATTACCATCCCTATTTCCTACCTGTGGCTTCCCTTTTACATCTGAAAGTTCAGAAATGAACAAAGCAAAACCATTTTTTGTACACATATAAAATAAAAAATATATATTCATGTAAATGTCCCAAGGGCACATACTACAAGCCAGCCTCCTGCCTGCAGGCACACAGCCTTACTCAGTCCCTAATCCTAGAGCCTGCATCTGCTCTGTCTCTCCAGGCCACTGCTTCTTCCATTACTTTTCTAGGTGGAATCTCACACTCCACTCATGCTCGTCCTTTTGATGGTCTGTTCCTGAAATGAAAGATTAACTACTCCTCCCTTAGTTACACATCTTCTCCAATTATAGTTGTGACAGCCACAGTTAATCCTGCTAACACTTATTCACAATTGAGTCATTAAAATCTTATCACTATCATCCTCCACCCCCTTTCACCAGCTCCATCTGGAAAAGAGGAAAACTACACACAGTGGGGATTTACCTTACTCTCCTCATTCTGAAAGCTTATGAGTCAGCCACTTCATACCTTTATAGCACCCCCTCCCCTTTTTTTTTTAAGTTTTTATTGTGACTTGAGTGATAGTTTACATGGAAGAACATCAGCTTTACACTCATCCTATCACATTTTGTTTCATTACAATGTCTACAATCCCCTCCATGCTTTCAACAGCATTTGTTTCTATTCCCTCCTTTTTTTGGATATACACTGAAGCACTCAGGAATATATAATCATTCAAACAACCAAAGGACATACACCTGCAAGCCTGTCCACCAGCTGCCAGCACACATCCCTTCTCCCTCCATGAGTCTAGAGTCCCCAGCCGCTCCGTCTCTCCACGTCATCTCTGCCTCCATCTCTCGTGTCGCTGCTTCATTGGATTGGGTCCTGCACTCCGCTCTTCTCCCTTGATGGTCCCAGGGTCCTCCACTTCTGGACTGCAAGATCAACCACTTTCCTCTTTTTGTTAGAAAATGTCTACCTTTACATTTGCAACATTTGCAGTCAGTCCTGATAACAATTATTCACCACTGAACCACAAGAGTCTTATCCCCATCTCCTTTCACCAGCCATGTCTAGAGAGGTTGAAAACCACTCAGTTAGCCCCCCATTTTTGATAGCAAGTATCTAGATTGCCTGTGTCCCTATCAATCCAGTGCACTGAGAAAACAAGCTTGGTCCTTGATATGAAGAATCTCTCCATTCTAATTGTAATTTTGAGCAACTGCATCCCTTAGCAAAGGTCCAGTTCATCAAATTATAGCAATTTATAATTGCTTACAACATCAAGCATCTTTATTTTCATCTGGTCAAGTTCTAGTCAGCTAGCAATCCAAGCTAGGTCAAAGGGAAGATTGAAGTTCCGGCATGCTTATTTGTACTTCATACAAGCTGGCGACTTTGCTTGCTCTCAACTCTAACCCCATGGGCTTAGGAGTTAACAGATCTCTCTAAACTTCAGACCAGCCAGGCCTTCCTCTTCTCTGTGTGTCAGTGGAACCTGGCCAAACTCAGCCCTTGTCTTCACTGCTGCACTTCCCCCATTTTCATTCACAAGTAGACCAGGGTGGTCACCAGCGAGCATACTAGACTGCTTGCACCACCTAGGGACTCTTAAATCATTCCTTACCACAGAACAACAACAACAATAATAAGGATAAAAACAAACAATGTGTCTGAGTAATTAGAATACTTTCTGTTTGTAGTCCCTTTTTCCAGTGCTGAGCCACTAGGTGTTTTTTAATTTCTGTTCCTTGAACTGTCCTGGTTGGTGTTAGTTTTGGCACATAGTGACCACCAGAGCAGAAACCTAGATGCGAGACAGAAGACAGACTTGGGGAAGGTAGTAAGAAGTATCTGTGGTTGGATTTAGATGTGGGTATAGTTGGAGAATAACGATATGATGAGTATGAAAATGAAGTCTTAGGTTCCTGGTGGATTTAGAGGCTGAAGAGAAGTCCAAAACGTTTCTTGGTCAGGCAGAGAAGACAGAGGAAAGTGCTTAGGAAACAGGTTAAAGTGGCCACAGATGTGCAGCCAGAGCTGTACCTGGACTTGAGATGTCCCTGCACAGCTGAATTCCTTACCACTCTGGGAAGAGACACCCTTTTCCATCATAGGAGGTGGTAAGAGAGAATGCTAAACTGGTACACACTAAGAATTGTATATGCATTTGGGAAAACTAAGCGTCATTGCACCAGCACTGGATCACCAATACCTAAAAAAGGGGCAAGATTAGGAGGAATCTAGACTCTCCTACATAAAAATGAGTAAAGGACAAACACAGTAGATAGAAAGTTCACCTTCTTCAAAGGTTTGTCCTTTAGATTTCAACTGTGTAAACTCAAGAACTGACTTGAGTATTTTGGCAGTAAGGGGGTTCTTCTAAATGTGATTCTAGAAGAAATGTAATAATAATTGTTATTTAAAAATTAGATT